CTGGATGGCCTACTCCGGCTGGACACTCCAAGTCTCCCTCCGCCACTTGCACCTCCCCTCTGCCTCCTCACTCCCCTCCTCCGCCTCTCTCTCTGCTTCCGCCTCCTCCTCGTCTGCATCCTCCTCAGCTGCCAGTGCGCCGGCCTTCCCGGGCCTGCGATACCATGTGGCTAAGGTGCCAGGGCCACCGGTGCGTGCGTGCTTGTCACCAGCTTTGCTACATGCTCCTGCCCACTGCTCACTACCTCCTGCTGCCACTGCTCACTACCTCCCGCTACTCCTTCCTGCCCACTACCTCCGTCCACTCATCTCACATCATATTCAATTCTACTCTAAACAATTTCTCAATATTCCACCCTTTCCCCCACCCCTTCCCACGCATCCTGCCCTCAACACCCCCAACTCATGACCACCCCCAGATGGCTCTCGCTCCCGGTCGTCGACTCGCCTACGCCCGCCCTCTTTCCTCCCTCTCCCCTCTCCCCGCCTCCTCCTCCGCACTCCTCCGCTCGTCCAGCACAGTCGGCGCAGCACCGGCGCATGGGGGCAGGGGGGGGAGAGGTGGAGCAGGCGCAGGGGGCGGAGGGTCCGAGGGGGAGGGTGAGGACAGGGAGGGGGAGGAGGCGGGGTATGTGACAGTGGTGCGGTATCCAGAGGACTGCCCTGGGGGAGTGGCCACTGCACTCTTCAACTGGCGCACGGGGGGGATTGAGGTGTGCAGTATTAGCTGGTGTGTGTGTGTGTGTGTGTATGTGTGTGTGTGTGTGTGTGTGCGTGTGTGTGCGTGTGTGTGCGTGTGTGTGTGCGCGCGCTTGTGCGCATGTGCGCATGTGTGTAAGAGCCTCGCCCTCCTTACCACGTGATGTGTGTAATCAAGCCCGTCCATCCATCCAGCCACCATCCCCTCGGTCCTCTCGTTGCCTCTACGTCTCACACGCTCTTGAGACATCCCAATCAGCTTCGTCACCCTGTCAAGCTATCCACCACTGCATCGCAGACTCTCCAGTCGATCACCAGTCAATGTTCAGTCGATTCTCCTCATTGCCCCACACCCCCCTCCCCCACCTGCAGGTGCAAGCGCACGAGCGGCTGGATGTGGTTGTTCTCATGGCAGTGGCGGTTGTGACTTTTGAGGCGCCTCTAAAGCCCCACCCCCCGATCCATACCCCTCCCTCCCCTGCAGGTGCAACCGCACGAGCTGCTGGATGTGGTGACGCTGATGGCAGTGGCAGTGGCGACTTGTGAGGCGCCTCTAAAGCCCCCCCCATCTACGTCCTTCCCCCCCCCCACCCCCACCCCCCCCTGCAGGTGCAACCGCACGAGCGGTTGGATGTGGTGGCGCTGATGGCGGTGGCAGTGGCGCAGTCATGGCACGACCTGCACCTCGCTGCCACCACGGCCGGCACTGCCAGCGCTGCCAGTGCGGCCAAGAAGAAGAGCGCTGGCAGCACGTCGGCTAAGCCTGCCCCTGTCAAGATCGTTCCCTCTAAGCTGCCGCGCCGTGCTGCTTCTGTGGGCAAGGATGACCGATGGGGTACGTGGATAATGGTGATTTTGGAGCATGGCGATTCTGGAATGCATGTGATTAGTGTGTGTGTAGGTGTGGTTTGGTTGACCATGGGTGGACGGTATGTGTGTGTGTGTTTGCGTGTGTGCGAGCGTGTGTGTGGGGTTGCGTTGTTATCCCAAGTTCACACACCTCACTCACTCCCCTCCGCAATCTAATCCCAGGTTCGGTGGTCGTTGACCCATCACCCCCAGAAGCCATGACACCCGACCCGCCTCTCCATGATTGGTTCTTGTCACGCATGCTGATGTGGCACGACTCGCCGCTCTATAACACCACCGATGTGGGTGGTTCTTGCGCAGCGCTCCTTGGGGGGAGTGCTTGTGGAGCAGGGTGATGTGAGCATTGAGCAATGCACATAGTAGTTTACAAGAATGTGCGCCTATATATTTAGGTAGTGTACGCACTACATGTAATACTGCTAGGTAGTTAAGAATGTACCATGCAGCTGCTGCTAGGTTAAGATAAGGGAGTAGGAAAAAGGAGCCTGCATGCGAGTCGCATGCACTTCCATCTTTTAGGAACAGGGTCAATAGAAATTTGAACATGCATGTTTGCATAGACAGAGCCACGAATCACTAGTAGCTTTGCTGGATGGGTGGATGGATGGAGAGGGAGGTTAAAGGTGTGGGGCTGTGTAGCACTGTTAATGAGCATGCTAGAGACACCTGGTGGTTTGGCCAGAAAACTGTAAGAGAAAGCTGGAAGTAGTTTATGTTGCCAACAAATGCAAGGTTTGGTATCATATGCGCATGCTAATATATTAAACTGTACTCTATGAGTCTCATGACTGTAATATAGCTCGACGTCGGGATATCGGATTCTTTCATTCCGCGTTCTCAAGTACAGAGATGTGAAAGTTGTGCATGGCGTCGTGTAGTGTAGCAGCCCGCCCGCAGATCGAGGGGACGACACTCCAGTCGAGACATCTCCCACGCGAAACTTGCCTTTTGGGGATTGGGGTGAGGAGGACATGACGGTGATGTGACGTGACGGGGGGGGAGAGGTAGACGAGATAAGCTGTGGTGTGTCCGCTCCGCGACCGCGGCCTACCGATGTAGCTCTCTCCGCACTCCTCTCCACTGCACTCCAATGCACCCACTCCGCCCCTCCTGTCCTGCTGCTCCTCCTTTTACACTCGTGGCGTGATTCATTTGTGCTCTTGAACGGATTTGCGAAGTGCTCGTGAGCGGATTTAGCGGGCTTAGCACGTATCCTCTTCGTGCATATCCCCTTTGCGTCCTAAGCTCCTCCAGCGTTTGAAAGCTGCTCGCGTGTTGGGACGCCTCATACCCCTCAAAGCTCGCTCTCTAGGCCTGCTTGCCGCGCCGTTGAGAAGCCGCGGCTCGGACGTTCGTCGTTGTGGTAGTAAACCAAGGGGGGGGAAGGGGGGACAGAGGGAGGAAAAAACGATGGCTGGCGGAAAGAAAAAAGGCGGGAAGGCCGCGAAATCCGCGGCGCTGGCGGAAGAGAAGAAGCAGCAAGAGCAGCAGCAGAAGCAGCAGCAACAGCAGGAGGAGGAGGAGAAGGAGAAAGAGGACGTAGCGTGCGCTCTAGACCCGGATGTGGCGGCGGCGCTTGCGGCGCTCATGGTTCCCATCGACTCCCCGTTAGCGCGCTGCGTCGTCCGCGACGACCGCCGCGAATTGCGGCGTGTGATCCGGCAGGCGCTAGAAGCGCTCGGTCTAGCGGAGATTCTAGTGGTGGAAGCTGGGGAGGACGAAGAGGAGGAGGAGGGGGAGCGGGAGGAGGAGGAAGAGGGGGCGAGAGAATGGAAAGAGGTTGAGTTGGCTCAAACGGGAGGCATGGGAAGGGACTGGAAAGGGGGGAAGGGGAAGGAAAAAATCAAGGGGAAGAGTAAAGGAAAGGGAAAGGGGGGGAAGGAGAAAGGGAGAGGGGGCAGGGGGGCGGGAGAGGCGGACGAAGAGGGAGGGGAGGGGAAGGGGAAGAGGGGGGAGAGAGAGTTGAAGTTGGAGAGGGCTGGGGAGGTGGTGCGACGTGCACTGGCGTGTGCTTGTGTGTGCGATGCCGTGGCGTGCTGCCAGGCTGTCATCGCCATCACGCCTGCTGGTGCTGACGTGGAGCCTAGTCACGTGAGTGTGCCGGTGACATGCTCTGGAAGTGGATGGATCAGGGATGGGGTTGTGGAAATGCGGGGATGAGGGGAAATGGGGATGGGGGAACAGGGGGAGGGGGGAACAGGGGGAGGGGGGAATAGGGGGAGAATAGATCGGGGATAAGGGGTTTGGGGAGATGAGGATGGGGAGATGGATAATCATAGATGCATGCGTGCATACATGCGCTGCATGGACAAACATGCGTGAACAGATGAAGCAGGTACACGGACATGCATTCAGGTGGGTGGTGGGAGGGAGTGGTGCGTGCAAGAACGCACAGCTCCTTCGATCCCACCTTCTCCTCTTTACCACATGCCTTGCTCATTCCATAACTCAGAGTCTGACTATCCATATTCCCTTCTTTCTTCCCTCCCTGTCCCACCATTCCTGTGCCGTCCTGTGCACCCGTGCCCCCCACCAGCCGTGTTGGGTGGTGCGAATGGATGAGGACCCGGCGCGAGCTGCACAGCACGGCAGGCGACTTTTGAGACGTTCAAAACCCTGTTTATCCAACCTGCCCCCGTCCTGATCACCCCTGCCCCCGTCCTCTTTACCCCTGTCCCCGTCCTGTTCACCCCTGCCCCCGTCCTGTTTACTCCTGGCACCCAACAGCCGTGCTGGGTGGTGCGAATGGACGAGGTCACGGCGCGAGCTGCACATCACGGCAGCAGGCACCACCACGTGGGTGCGCTCACAGCGCTGCACATGGCCGCCCGCTTCCACAGGTGTGCGCACTCGCCTCCTGGCCCCATGGAGGCCCACCGTGCGGACTGGTGGGGGAACTGGTGGGTGGGGCATGCATGCCACGTGTTGGATATTCAGTGTTCACTTCACAGCACTTGCCTTGCTGATCAGACACACACTGTCATGCTGCCTGCCATGCCACTTGCCCTGCACATCCCTCCCTCCACACCAATCTCTCCACCTATCCCACCCATACCTGCACTGCGTGCCGCCTCCCTATGAGTGTCTCAAAACGCGCCTCTTTTCTCCCTCCCCCTCTCTCCCTCTCTTCTTCCCTCCCCCGTGTGGTGCGCATGTGCATGCACACACACAGTGCGCGCTGCATCGCTGCACTGCTGGCAGCAGGGGCAGACGCGAGCCTGGCAGCGGGGCCGCTGGGGCTCACCGCTCTGGAGGAAGCTCTGCTCTCCAAGCGACTGCATGTGAGTGTGCAGGGGATTAGCAGGCGAGTGGGTGGGTAAAGACGCACCCATGCTGACAGGTGCAGTGTAGATTCCATCCGCATCCTCATCTCATTACGTCCCGTCCCCCCCCTTTTCCTGCTAACCTTCCCTTCTGCCCCCCTCGTGCAGTTTGACTGGGGGGCGCAGACAGCGCCGCTGCGAGTGGTGAACACGCTCAGGCACGAGCGCAACCTCGACTCCATCCGCCTGCTGCACCAGGTACCCATGCCGCGTGCTGCTGCTGCTTCTGCTGCTGCTTCTGCTGCTGCTGCTGCTGCTGCTGCTGCTGCTGCTGCTGCTGCTGCTGCTGCCCCTTTGCACGCGCCCATGGTTCCTTTCCTCAAACGCCCCGCTCATCCCCCGTTCTCCCCCAACCTCCGCCTCTTTTCTCTTCCACTTCATCTCTCCTACCCACCCGCCATTTTCTCTTCCCTCCCCTTCCCACACCCCCTCCCGGCAGCACACGTCCGACGCTCTCCGTGTGGCATTCACCCTAGCTGGCTGCTTCCGCCTGGTCCCCCTGGTCGCGCTGCTCCTCTCCGGGGGCTCACCCTTAATGAACGCAGCCGTGCCTCCGTCGCAGCACCCCTGGTTCGCCGCTGTCTCTCTGGGCGCCTGCCAGTGGATGCACGGTCACCCCTCGCTCACCCTCCTGGATGTCATCCTCTCCAACCTCCTCGATCTCTCCCGCGTGCCGTTGGCAAGGGGTCGTGGGGGTGAGGTAGAGGAGGAGGATGAGGAGGAGGAGGATGAGATGTTCTTTGATGCTTGTGAGGAAGGGGATGGGGTTTCGTCGCCGAGATCCTGTGACCGGAGTGTGAGGAGTGAGTGGAGCAGGAGGGTGCATCATTCCAAGCGTGCGGCGTGGCTGGGCGCGATGGGGGTAATGCTGCTGGAGCCATGGCAGGAGGTGCTGTTGGGCGAGCAGGAGAAGGAGCAGCAGGAGCGCGAGCAGCAGCAAGTGCTGCGACTGCTGCACGCAGAGCGAGACGAGAGGAGAGAGAAGCACGAGACTGAGCATGGCAACGGCAACGGGGTGGAGGAGAGCAAGCAGGGGAAGAAGAAGAAGTCAGCCAAGGAAAAGCGAGCAGCAGAGGCAGCGGGAGGAGGAACCGCAGGAGCAGGAGGAGCTGCAGCAGGAGCGGCAGAGGCACGGTGTCAGGAGCTGCGCATGAGAGGGCTGAAGGTGCTGGAGGCGTTTCTGCTGTTCAACCCGCCGCTGGCAGGCCACGGGCCGAGCGTGCACCAGGTGCCGGTGGTGCGAGCAGCAGCGGGCAATGACGGCATGGTGGTGGGGCTGCTGCTGGACGCCGGTGCTTCTGTCAATGACAGCGACGGCGATGGCAACACCGCACTGCACTGGGTGCTCCGACAGGTGCGGTGGGGAGGGGAAGGGGGGGTGAGTTGGAGTTTGTGCTCGGTGAGGGGTGAAGAGGTGGGGTTTGGGACTGCAGGTAAGGGGTTGAGGCAACAGGTGGGGGGTTGTTGGTGCAACAGGTGGGGGGTTGTTGGTGCAACAGGTGGGGGGTTGTTGGTGCAACAGGTGGGGGGTTGTTGGTGCAACAGGTGCCGAGGGTGCCGGTGGTGAGAGCAGCAGCGGGCAATGACGGCATGGTTGTGTGGTGGGGCTGCTGCTGGATGTGGGTGCGGCTGTGAATGTCAGCGATGGGGACGGCAACACTGCTCTGCACTGGGTGCTCCGACAGGTGCGCTGCGGTGTAGATGGGGGGAGACGATGGATGGGCGCAGCTTGGAAGAGGCCGGGTGGGGGGGGTGAAGTGATGCTGCTTGCTAGGAGCCGTGGGTTGTGTGGCTAGGCGCCCCAGCAACCTCGTCCGTGTTTCATTCCCTCTAACTCTCTGCCCTATCCTTCTTTCCGGGCCTCGCCTCCACCCACACCGTCCCGATGAATCAAACCCCCCACCCCAGGCGACCCCATGGAACGGGCAGCCAGTGGACACGACCATTCTCTCACAGCTCATATCAGCGGGCGCGAGTGTGCTGGCAGGGAACCACGTGGGGGCGACAGCGGTGCATACAGCAGCAGGCCACGGACACAGTGAGGCGCTTGATGTGCTGCTGGGGCGAGAGGCCGCTGCTGCCAACGCCGTCACTGCTGCCCGCGAGACTCCCCTGCACTACGCCGCTCAGGTGAGCTGAGCGCTGCGGGTGGGCTTTGTTGTTGCTTGTTTCCTGCACGGCTTTTGAGTGTTCGAGAGTTCTCAGAATATCGGGGAAATTCCGCAGCGCTACGCTGCTTGGTTGAGGAGGGAGGGGCGGGGAGATGGACGGGCGGGGGTCTGGGAGGAGAGGAGTGGTGAGAATGAGTGTTTTGTGTTGGTGCTGGTGCTGGTGGTGCCAGGTGGGTGGGCGTCTGATAGATGGTGGTGAGTGGGGAAGTGAGTGGTGGAGAGGAGCGTATGCGTTGAACCAAGCAACTCTTTCTCTTGTGAGAATTTTACCCTGTTTCGTACATCCCTTTAAATCCAGAATGTGCAGACACTGGACAACCCCTGCTGAATTACCCGCTCACCCCCCTCCTATTCCCCCCCTTCTTCCCCTTCCCCCCCCCCCTCCTTCCCCACCCCACATCAGCACGACCACGTGGCATGTGCGGCGGTGCTGCTGGCGTTTGGTGCATCCAACAGCGTGGAAAACGCAGGAGGGTGGAGGCCCGGCCAGCTCGCCACATCCGCAGAGCTCCGCCAGATGCTGGGTGAGACTGGGCCCCCTATGCCCCGGGGCGAGGCCGCGTGGGCCGCATGGGGTGCTGCTGGGGACCCTGCTGCTTCTGATGGGGATGGGGATCAGCCTTGGGATGCCTCTGTTTCTGCTGCTGGTGGTGGGGCTGGTGCTCCTCCGTGGGCTGACTCGTTGCATCAGCTGCGGCTGGGGTGGAAGGAGACGCAGCAGCAGCAGCAGAAACAGAGGCAGAAGGAGCAGAAGAAGCAGCAGAAGGAGCAGCAGCAGCAACAGCAGGAGCAGCAGCAGCAGCAGCAGAAGGAGCAGAAGCCGGGGTACAATCCAAACTACAAGTATAAGACGATGCTGTGTCGGCGCTGGTCCAGCACAGGCTCTTGCAGCCTGGGCTCGCAGTGCACGTTTGCACACGGGCAGAAGGAGCTGCAACAGGTGCCCAAGCCATCCCCCCGCGGCCCATCAGCCTGGAAGAATGCCACCAGTGCTGCTCCTGCTGCAGGTGGCGCTGGCGCTGGTGGTGCTGGCTGGGAAAATGCTGCTGCTCCTGGTGCTGCTGGTTGGGATGCTGCTGCTACTCCTAGCGGTGCCGGTGGCAGTGGCGGCGGTGGTGAGAGCAAGGGCGGCGGCAATCTCGTGCCATGGGAGAGCAGCTCGGGCCCCTTGGGCAGCTCAAGCGGAGGAGCAGGGTCATGGGAGTGGGGCGACCAATCAGAGGATTCCAGGAGCACGAGCGCTGGCAGCTGGGGGGGTGGCAGCACCAGCAGTGGCAGTGGCAGCGCCAGCGCCGGTGCTTCATCTGCTAGTGGTGGTGGTGGTGGTGGTGGTGGTTCCATTGGTGCCGTTCTAGCAGGGCGAGGCAGCAAGTCTATTGCTCTCTCAGGGGACCTTGCCCTGCAGCCCTAGTGAGTCATCTCTCTCTCTCTCACCTTTCTCTGCTCCTGGCTTTCATCTCCCTCTCCACTCCTTCGCCTCTCTCCTCCCCATTTCCTCGCCTCCTCCCCTCCCGCCTCCCCTCCCGCCTCCCCTCCTGCCTCTCCCTCCACCAACAAGCTGCTCCCTTCAAATCCATTCTCCTCCCTTCACTCCCCTTCACTCTCCTTCACTCCCCTTCACTCCCCTTCACTCCCCTTCACTCCCTCCCCTCCCCCTTCCCCCTCTCCTCCCCCCAACCACCCCCGACCCTAATCCTTACAGCAAGATATTCGTGGGGGGATTGCCGTACGACGTGACATCGGATGATCTAGCAGCACACTTCGAGGAGCACTACGGGGGAGTGGTGGACGCGGTAGTGCTGTATGAGCCCGACCGCGCAGCCAGCGAGCCGGGAGCCATGCGCTCGCGCGGCTTTGGCTTCGTGGTGCTGGATTCAAGAGAGACAGTGGCACGCCTACTGGAGAAACACTTTGTGCCGCTGGGGGGCCGCATGGTGGAGGTGAGTGAGTGGGTGGGTGCCTTGGCTGCTTATGATGCGCCTTAGAAGTCATGGGGTGCTGGATTCCAGAGAGACAGTGGCACCCCTGCTCGAGAAACACTTTGTGCCGCTGGGGGGCCGCATGGTGGAGGTGAGTGCCCCGCCACCTACTTTCACCCCCCCGTTCCATTCCAGCATCTTCAGTGCCTTTCTCCCCCCTGTCCGTTTGCCCCCTCTATTCAACATGTCAATCCCTCCTTGTTTTCTCTGCTTGCAAAGCACTTTTTTTTGGGGGGGGAAGGGGGCGCATCTCAAAAGTCGCGTTAATGTGTGTAAACTCCCCTTCCCCTCCCCCCTGCGCTCACTTTTTTCGTCCAAACTCAAACCACAGATCCGAAATGCTTCCAGGCGAGGAGGGTTCTCCCCTGCTACTGCTGTTGCTGTCGCCACCACTGCTCCCACCGCTCCCACCACTGCTCGCCCCTCTGCTAAATCTTCAGCTGTCAACCACACCAGCAGCATCAACAGCAAAGGCACAGTCAAAGCAACAAAGCCCCTCAAGGCTCACTCCTCTCCCCATCCCTCCCCCCATCCCTCCGCGTACCCTTCCCCCCATCCGTCCGCACACCCTTCCCCCCACCCCTCCGCACACCCTTCCCCCCACCCCTCCGCACACCCTTCCCCCCACCCCTCCGCACACCCTTCCCCCCACCCCTCCGCACACCCTTCCCCCCACCCCTCCGCACACCCTTCCCCCCACCCCTCCGCACACCCTTCCCCCCACCCGTCGCCTCATCCCTCTCCCCATCCTTCCTCACACGCGTCCCCTCTCCCCTCGCCCCATCCCTCTCCCAGCCACAAACAGAAACGCCCACCAGCACAGCCGTCCCATGACGTGCCTCCCAATCCCCCAGACACCACCAACCCATCTGCACCGCTCTATCCTGACCAGCCGCACCACCTGGATCATCCAAACCAGCATCACCAGCAGCAGCACCAGGACCCACATCAACCCTCCATAAGACCTCAGCCAGACTCTTGGAGCGGCACTCCTGCTGCTCCTGCTGCTGCTGCTGCTGCTGCTGCTGCTGCTGCTGCTGCTGCTGCTGCTGCTGCTGCTGCTGCTGCTGCTGCTGCTGCTCCTAGTGCTGCTGCTCTTAGTGCTGCTGCTGTTGCGCCTGTTCCTGCACCACATGGAAGCGCAGCGAGTGCAAGGAAGGTGCTGTCGGTGGGTGAGGTTGAGGCAGAGCTGCATCAGCCGCCAGTGGAGCAGCCAGTGCAGCAGCCAGTGCAGCAGGAGCAGGCGAGGGGTGGTGTGGATGCGTGGGGAGGGCAGCAGGTGCACGCACAGCACGCAATTCACAACTCTCATTTGTTGGAGCAGCAGAGGCAATTGTTGCAGCAGCAGCATGATTTGCAGCAGCAGCTGCTAGCACTCCAGCAGCAGATCCTCCTAAGCCAACACCACCTCGCCACCCCGCCTACTGCCCTCACCTCCTCCTCTTTCCCCACTCCCTCTCCCACAACCACTCTCTTGCCCCCCACCCTGCTCTCAGCATCCACATCTACGGCACCCACGCCTACAGACCTGCCAGGATCTGCTGCGTTCTACCCAGGAGCAGCGGCAGCAGCACACATGCCCATTACAACACATCAGCCGTTCGCGTCGCAGGTTTTCAATCCACAAGCATTCGCTCCGCCTGGGTTCTCATTGCCCGGTGCGGCACATTCACACACACAAGCATCTGCACTGGCGCCTGTCCCTGTGCTTGCAGCACCACATCCCCCTGCAATGATGCAGCCAGCAGCAGTGGGTACGGGAAGGGCAGAAACAGCAGGAGAGGGGGGTGTGGCAGAGGCGGGGGAGGAGGATGAGCTGGCGAGCCTCCTGTCCATGCTGAATGCAACTGGGTGATAAGGCATGATTTTACGAAGCCTTACGTAGAGCAGTGCACAGCACACTTATGATTCTACTATGAAGAGGAGCCTTTGCACTGCGCGGTGCAGAGCAGAGCAGGTGACGCCAGGCACATGACAATAAGTTTGGTACCCTGTAACAGGGGCGCAGCAGTTCACTAACTCACCACTATCCTGTGGTCGTTCACTTGTAGGCAGACTGAGCTATCACGAGGTGGAATGGTCATTCCATTGACTCGGGTGGGCATAGATAGTTGAAAGATCATCCTGAGCATCTCACTAGGTTACAGCTTACTAGTGCCACAGTCAGTGCATGTCCTGGGATTTTGAGCATCCTGAGCTTTCAGGGCAAAAAAAAAAGGGTGATTGAACTAGTGTTGTACTAGACCGATTATGTGGAAAAGTAGGTGATCGTTATGGATGAACACCTTTTGACACAGTTAAGCTGTGGTGGAATCTACATGGTAAGCTGGCAGTGCGGTGATGTTTGAGCCCCAATCAAAACCTAATTACGAGCAATTACAATGGGCCCAATGGTGGGTAGGAATCCCTGAGAGGCACCAGAACTGTCTACCATTGGACGAAATCCGTCTGATAATACATGATTTTCACACCTGTCACATTTGCTTTACGTAGTCAAGCCAATTATGTTCATCTGAGCGTTCAACAATATATTCGTAAGATTTCTCGAATTTCTCATACCGGCGCAGATTTGTCTGGGTATGCATACAAGAGGATTTTCGTGTCTGGCTCGAAATATTCTGCGTCCATCCATTTCAAATTCGTCGACATCCCTCCAAGTGAACGTCGAGAAATGCGGAGAAATGACAACCGTCAGAGCTCTGGTAACACGAAATCCAAGGGCTGAAATGTGTCGATATCCCTCGACGTTCTGTCCAGGGATGTCGTTTTTAGAGAGTTTCATCTCTTTCTTGAATGCGTGGAATTTGTCGGTGAGGCTTGTTGATTCACGTTGACTTCTGATCGGGTCACCTTCAAAGTTTCAGTGCACCCAAATCGGCCACGACCAGGGCCGTAGGTGATTGTGTAGTGCTCGAGAATGAAAGCATACTGCATTTGTACGAAAACGGGTCCGATTAAGAATATGTAAGCGCCAGAACCTAAATCGAACCCTGGAAAACGGGAGGCTGTAGTGAAGGGCACCCCATATTTTAAATCGCGTAACCGTCTCTAGCCCGTGGTAGTCCAACATACAGGCCTAGGCGGGTGATATGGCTTCCTCCGTACGAGTACGGTACGACATGCTTGAGACAGGGGAGGAGACTCAGCTTCAAGCCGGACCTTCCTCAGACGTTCTCACAATTATTGATGGCACTCAATCTGGACCTTCCTACGACGTCCCCACGATACTGAAGTGCTTTTGTTCTTCCAGGCAAAGAACCCGGCCAAGCATGTCTTCTTCACCCTGGCCATCTCCAGTAGAAGGAAAACACCAGGAAATGCGGCGCGCGTGTTAGATCACGGTTCTGAAGTTCGCCCGCCATCCGAAGTAGGGACAATACTGTAGCAACGTACACGTCTGATTGGCTTCCATGCTCCAAGATATCTGGAACCTTGTGTGGTGACCAATGTTCGGGTGTTTTTACACGTCACCGAGGGCCATTTTGGGCTGATGGCGGGCGAACTTCACCCGGAACCGCGACCCCGCACTCTCTTACCCCAGCTCCGCTTTCGCTTCAATTTCCCCCTTCACTAGTACCTGCCCTCCACACCTACGGCCGACGTAGTAGTACTGTAGCAGCGTAAATAAGCTGGCTTGCATGAACATGTATGGCTACCTTGACGGAATCACTGAACCCAAGGTCGGTGACATGACGTAGCCGTTTCACGCGACGTCTCAAGCTCGCAAAGCGCAGGCGTCGCAGAGCGCGGGTGGAATCCGTGCGCTGACAGTATAATAGCACACACCACCGACTATCATGGGCACCAGAAGAGAACATTCAGAATTCAGTAGACGTAGTACTATTGGAACACGAATTTCTTCATACCACGCCCCCAGCCGTCCACAGGTGGTGGTAACCCTAAAGCCGGCAGGCACAACACCCTCCGTAACAATTTGTTGGACCCGCCATTTTCACCGTATCGAACCACCCCGTGGTTGCTCCCCTCGATTACTACTAGCACCCATCCATATATATGCCCAATCCATTCCAGTTCCAAGTATCGCTCGCAGCAGTACTACTAGTATACTTTTCACCGTCGCACAGTCACCGCAGCGGTTGCACCCCGCATACCCTCATTACTGCCATCATGGCCTCCGTCGCTCGCCCGCCGACTTCTCGCACCAGCCACCGCCGCTCCGCCTCTTGCCGCCGCTTCCGCGCATTGTCTCCGCTCTCCGCGGTGCTCCTCGCCGCGTGCTGCCATCTCGCACTCTCCAGGGACCGCGGAGTCCTACCCGTGGCGCGTGCGACGCCGCAAGTCCCGTGGGATAACTTCACCTCGCCGTGCACGCCGCTCCCGGACCCTCCCCCCGCCGGTGCGTCACAGCCCGCCGTGACGGTCGTCGCAAATCCCGCAGCACACGCTGTCCAACGCAGTGATTATAAGAGGGGGATGGTCGCCGCTCACCTCGTGTTGCGCTCGTTTATTATCCGTTCTTCTCTGCTCCTCTCTTCCTTTCTCCGCCCTCTCCCTCCTCCCTTTTTCCCCACGCCCCGTCCCGTTCTCTCATCCCTTGCCCCCCTTCCCCCCATTCATCTCCGCTTCTCCTTCTCTCCCCCCTTCTCCCCCTCCAGGCTTCAATCTGTGGAGCGACGCGGCAACGTGGCCGGGGGGAGTGGTGCCGGGCGTGGGGGCGGGCAAGGGCGCCATCGCCACCATCCCGTGCGGCGTGGCCGTGCTTCTCGACATGCCCTCTGTCGTCCTCTCCACTCTCACCATCCGGGGCATGCTTAAGTGAGTAGGACTGAACAGTGTACAGGAATGAGGAGCGAGCAAGAGGGAGAAGGCTCCAGTCTTCATATTCTCTGCACCGTTTCCACCCTCTTCTTCCCCCCCTGCCCCCTAAATCCCCCCTAAATCCCCCCCGTCCCCCATGCCTCCCCCCATGTGCTATTGGCAGGATCGAGGACACGCCGTCACGGCCGCTGGTGCAGGTGAACGCGTCGTTTGTGATCGTGGAGGGGCAGCTGATCGCAGGCAGCAGCGCAAAGCACTTCTCTCAGAAGGTCGTCTTCACGCTCACGCCCAACCCCAACGGCCGCGCGCCCTACCTGTACACCGCCAACGCACCCGCTGACCCCGCCAACCCCCGCAACTTCGGCCACAAGGCCTTCGTCGTGGTGGGAGGGCAGGTGCGCATGCACGGCATGCCGGGGGGCTCCTCCACGCCCTCGTGGTGCCGCCTGGCAGCGACAGCACAGGCGGGCGATACAGCCATCCTGGTGGACCGGGACGTCTCCGCATGGCCCGTGGGCTTCCATGTCGGCCTCGCCTCCACCGACTTCTATCCCGACCAGATCGACGTCGCCAAAATCGTTGCTGGTGAGTGAGTGGGCCTGTGTTGGGACCTCTCAAGAGTGCCTTTCACTGCTTGTCCCTCTCTCCTCTCTCAGCCAGTTTCCCTTTTGCCGTTAACTCTAGTCTTTGGGTGACTTTTGAGTCGACTCAAAAGTCACCAAGAGTGCCTTTCACTGCTTGTCCCTCTCCCCTCTCTCAGCCAGTTTCCCTTTTGCCGTTCACTCTAGTCTCTGGTGGGCTACCGAGCTGGTAGTGCAGCAGCCCATCTCTCTCGCGCCGTCTCTCCTCATACACTCCCTCCCTCTCTCCTGCTTCCTCTCATTCGCCCCATCTGCTTCACCCTCCTCGTCGCAACTTCCCCCCATGCCAGCTGCTCATGTATATGCGAAATTTTACCATATTCTGCATCATCACCATCACCCTGCTCCCCCTTGCTGCAGTGACGGCGGTGGGCGGCAGCAAGTGGAAAGTGGCGCTGAGCGCGCCGCTCTCCTACAGCCACTTCGGAGAGGTGGTGCCCGACGGGTTCGGCGGCACGATAGACGAGCGCGGGGAGGTGGTGCTGCTCAACCGCACAGTGACCATTCGAGGGGAGGACGAGGCGGCACCTTACAACTGGGAGGGCGGGCACTTCATGGTGTTCTTCACTCAGACCGCGCAGATGATAGAGGGCGTGGAGTTTGCCCAGATGGGGCAGCAGGGGCAGCTGGGGCGCTATAACATCCACTTCCACCTCTGTGGGAATCAGGCGGGGAGGAGCGTGGTGCGCAAGAACGTCATGCATGACAGCAAGCAGGTGGGTGCTGTTTGCTGGCTGCTGTGTGCTTCGTGCTGTGTGCTGTGTGCTGGATTGATTGATTCCACTCTGAGCGTGCCTTGCCTGTACACAGACTTTCTTTCTGCGAATCTTTCCATGTCCTCAAGGTGACTTTTGAGTCGACTCAAAAAGTACACGTCCACTGATTGTCCATCCCTCCATCCTCGTCCCCTCTCCTTCTCTCCTCGTTCCTTTCCCCCCGCTCTCTGCCTCCCCACTGCCCCCTTCTGCTCCCGCCCCCCACCTTCCACCATGCAGCGCTGTGTGGTGGTGCACGCCACCTTCAATCCTCATCGCGTCCCCTTCTCACCCCCCTCCCCCATGCAGCGCTGTGTGGTGGTGCACGCCACCTTCAATACTCATCGCGTCCCCTTCTCACCCCCCTCCCCCATGCAGCGCTGTGTGGTGGTGCACGCCACCTTCAATCCTCATCGCGTCCCCATCTCACCCCCCTCCCCCATGCAGCGCTGTGTGGTGGTGCACGCCACCTTCAATCCTCATCGCGTCCCCTTCTCACCCCCCTCCCCCATGCAGCGCTGTGTGGTGGTGCACGCCACCTTCAATCCTCATCGCGTCCCCTTCTCACCCCCCTCCCCCATGCAGCGCTGTGTGGTGGTGCACGCCACCTTCAATCCTCATCGCGTCCCCTTCTCACCCCCCTCCCCCATGCAGCGCTGTGTGGTGGTGCACGCCACCTTCAATACTCATCGCGTCCCCTTCTCACCCCCCTCCCCCATGCAGCGCTGTGTGGTGGTGCACGCCACCTTCAATCCTCATCGCGTCCCCATCTCACCCCCCTCCCCCATGCAGCGCTGTGTGGTGGTGCACGCCACCTTCAATCCTCATCGCGTCCCCTTCTCACCCCCCTCCCCCATGCAGCGCTGTGTGGTGGTGCACGCCACCTTCAATCCTCATCGCGTCCCCTTCTCACCCCCCTCCCCCATGCAGCGCTGTGTGGTGGTGCACGCCACCTTCAATCCTCATCGCGTCCCCATCTCACCCCCCTCCCCCATGCAGCGCTGTGTGGTGGTGCACGCCACCTTCAATCCTCATCGCGTCCCCTTCTCACCCCCCTCCCCCATGCAGCGCTGTGTGGTGGTGCACGCCACCTTCAATCCTCATCGCGTCCCCTTCTCACCCCCTCCCCCATGCAGCGCTGTGTGGTGGTGCACGCCACCTTCAATCCTCATCGCGTCCCCTTCTCACCCCCCTCCCCCATGCAGCGCTGTGTGGTGGTGCACGCCACCTTCAATCCTCATCGCGTCCCCTTCTCACCCCCCTCCCCCATGCAGCGCTGTGTGGTGGTGCACGCCACCTTCAATCCTCATCGCGTCCCCTTCTCACCCCCCTCCCCCATGCAGCGCTGTGTGGTGGTGCACGCCACCTTCAATACTCATCGCGTCCCCTTCTCACCCCCCTCCCCCATGCAGCGCTGTGTGGTGGTGCACGCCACCTTCAATCCTCATCGCGTCCCCATCTCACCCCCCTCCCCCATGCAGCGCTGTGTGGTGGTGCACGCCACCTTCAATCCTCATCGCGTCCCCTTCTCACCCCCCTCCCCCATGCAGCGCTGTGTGGTGGTGCACGCCACCTTCAATCCTCATCGCGTCCCCTTCTCACCCCCCTCCCCCATGCAGCGCTGTGTGGTGGTGCACGCCACCTTCAATCCTCATCGCGTCCCCTTCTCACCCCCCTCCCCCATGCAGCGCTGTGTGGTGGTGCACGCCACCTTCAATACTCATCGCGTCCCCTTCTCACCCCCCTCCCCCATGCAGCGCTGTGTGGTGGTGCACGCCACCTTCAATCCTCATCGCGTCCCCATCTCACCCCCCTCCCCCATGCAGCGCTGTGTGGTGGTGCACGCCACCTTCAATCCTCATCGCGTCCCCTTCTCACCCCCCTCCCCCATGCAGCGCTGTGTGGTGGTGCACGCCACCTTCAATCCTCATCGCGTCCCCTTCTCACCCCCCTCCCCCATGCAGCGCTGTGTGGTGGTGCACGCCACCTTCAATCCTCATCGCGTCCCCATCTCACCCCCCTCCCCCATGCAGCGCTGTGTGGTGGTGCACGCCACCTTCAATCCTCATCGCGTCCCCTTCTCACCCCCCTCCCCCATGCAGCGCTGTGTGGTGGTGCACGCCACCTTCAATCCTCATCGCGTCCCCTTCTCACCCCCTCCCCCATGCAGCGCTGTGTGGTGGTGCACGCCACCTTCAATCCTCATCGCGTCCCCTTCTCACCCCCCTCCCCCATGCAGCGCTGTGTGGTGGTGCACGCCACCTTCAATCCTCATCGCGTCCCCTTCTCACCCCCCTCCCCCATGCAGCGCTGTGTGGTGGTGCACGCCACCTTCAATCCTCATCGCGTCCCCTTCTCACCCCCCTCCCCCATGCAGCGCTGTGTGGTGGTGCACGCCACCTTCAATCCTCATCGCGTCCCCTTCTCACCCCCCTCCCCCATGCAGCGCTGTGTGGTGGTGCACGCCACCTTCAATCCTCATCGCGTCCCCATCTCACCCCCCTCCCCCATGCAGCGCTGTGTGGTGGTGCACGCCACCTTCAATCCTCATCGCGTCCCCTTCTCACCCCCCTCCCCCATGCAGCGCTGGGTGGTGGTGCACGCCACCTTCAATCCTCATCGCGTCCCCATCTCACCCCCCTCCCCCATGCAGCGCTGTGTGGTGGTGCACGCCACCTTCAATCCTCATCGCGTCCCCTTCTCACCCCCCTCCCCCATGCAGCGCTGTGTGGTGGTGCACGCCACCTTCAATCCTCATCGCGTCCCCTTCTCACCCCCCTCCCCCATGCAGCGCTGGGTGGTGGTGCACGCCACCTTCAATCCTCATCGCGTCCCCATCTCACCCCCCTCCCCCATGCAGCGCTGTGTGGTGGTGCACGCCACCTTCAATCCTCATCGCGTCCCCTTCTCACCCCCTCCCCCATGCAGCGCTGTGTGGTGGTGCACGCCACCTTCAATCCTCATCGCGTCCCCTTCTCACCCCCCTCCCCCATGCAGCGCTGTGTGGTGGTGCACGCCACCTTCAATCTGACGGTGGAGGAGAACGTGGCGTTCAACACGAGAGGGCATTGCTTCATGGTGGAGGAGGGCGGCGAGCAAGGCAACTCCTTCATCCGCAACGTCGGCATCTGGACGCGCGCAGGTAAGAACGTCGGCATCTGGACGCGCCCAGGTAAGAACGTCGGCGTCTGGACGCGCCTGGATGCGCACACTGCACTTGCTTGCACGCGTTGTTTTCTTGGTTTTGTTTTTTGTTGTTTTTGCTTTTTTTGTCGTGCACGTATTTACCATCTGCTGTAACCTGTGAGTGTTGCTCTGTGCGTGTGTGCCTGACTCTGTCTGTGTGCATATGTGTGTATGTGTCTGTATGTATGCAGTGGAGGTGAAGATATCGGATGAGGAGACGGACAACGAGCCATCCACGTTTTGGATCACCAATGCCAACAACAACTACGTCGACAATGTCGCTGCCGGCTCAGAAGACACCGGGTGGGTGGCTCAATGGATGCGTTGGTTTTTGAGAATTCCCAAGTTGGTTTTTGAGAATTCCCAAGTTGGTTTTTGAGAATTCCCAAGTTGGTTTTTGAGAATTCCCAAGTTGGTTTTTGAGAATTCCCAAGTTGGTTTTTGAGAATTCCCAAGTTGGTTTTTGAGAATTCCCAAGTTGGTTTTTGAGAATTCCCAAGTTGGTTTTTGAGAATTCCCAAGTTGGTTTTTGAGAATTCCCAATTTGGTTTTGAGAATTCCCAAGTTGGTTTTTGAGAATTCCCAAGTTGGTTTTTGAGAATTCCCAAGTTGGTTTTTGAGAATTCCCAAGTTGGTTTTTGAGAATTCCCAAGTTGGTTTTTGAGAATTCCCAAGTTGGTTTTTGAGAATTCCCAAGTTGGTTTTTGAGAATTCCCAAGTTGGTTTTTGAGAATTCCCAAGTTGGTTTTTGAGAATTCCCAAGTTGCTTTTTGAGAATTCCCAAGTTGCTTTTTGAGAATTCCCAAGTTGCTTTTTGAGAATTCCCAAGTTGCTTTTTGAGAATTCCCAAGTTGCTTTTTGAGAATTCCCAAGTTGCTTTTTGAGAATTCCCAAGTTGCTTTTTGAGAATTCCCAAGTTGCTTTTTGAGAATTCCCAAGTTGCTTTTTGAGAATTCCCAAGTTGCTTTTTGAGAATTCCCAAGTTGCTTTTTGAGAATTCCCAAGTTGCTTTTTGAGAATTCCCAAGTTGCTTTTTGAGAATTCCCAAGTTGCTTTTTGAGAATTCCCAAGTTGCTTTTTGAGAATTCCCAAGTTGCTTTTTGAGAATTCCCAAGTTGCTTTTTGAGAATTCCCAAGTTGCTTTTTGAGAATTCCCAAGTTGCTTTTTGAGAATTCCCAAGTTGCTTTTTGAGAATTCCCAAGTTGGTTTTTGAGAACCAACCTCAATGGATACGTTGATGGGTGGGTGGGTGATTTGGTTTTCCTGAGAGCAGAACGGATTGGCAAGCAGTCACCTTAATCCCCATCCCACCTCCATCAACTCAACATCTCTCTCTCCCTCCCCCCACTCCCCTCTCTGTCTGCATGGCACCAGCTTCTGGCTGGAGCTGAGGGACCAAGTAAGGGGGCTGTCTTCTCAATGGCCGCAGATCAACACGCTGATTCCCTTCAACTACCACCGCGTGGGCACGTTCGCAGGCAACGTGGCGCACTCGTGTGAGATTGGCTTCCGTGACTACCCCGGGGGGTTCAACCCCCGCTTCAACGCCTCCACTCTCGACCAGGACGAGACCTACGTGCGTCCCCACCTCTCTCTTTCACATGTCGCACCACAACCCTCATTGCCTGCTTGCATGCTCTCGCATGCCTCCTCAGTGCCTTGCCCTCCTGCTAACCCCTGCTGCCACCTGCTGCTTCCTGCGTGCCTCGTATGCTCTCCCTGCTCTTTAAACTGTGTCTCGTACTGTGCGCATTCCTGTGCCTGTCGGCCATGTTTTCAGCTGTTGGTTGCGACTCACAGCTGTGTCCTGCTGTGCGTGTGGTGTGTGATCCCCTGGCACATCTTTAGAGCAGTCTCATAACATCCCTGCTGCTCCTTCGCCAACACCAGCATGTCCATCCGTTTGTGTGCGTGTGGCCCTCCCATGCTCCGTGTGCCCCTCTGTTGATCGTTGCAGTGGGACCATCCAGTGTGGGTGACTATCTCGGGCTTCACTCTCTACAAGAACACCTACGCGGGGTAAGTCCACCCGTCATCCCACTCTCTTCCTCCTCTTTGCCACTCTTTCCCGTCCCTTCTCCCTTCCCTCCCTTCCCTACCTCCCATGCAACTTGCCCCCATTCTCTTGCACGCTTCCTCCCTCCCCCTAGCTTCCCGCTCCACCCCAGCGCTTTGTATACAACACGGACCACGTGGTGATTCACACATGTTCACGTGTTCTCTCCTCTCCCACCCTCTTCCCCTCCTACCCTCCCCTCTGCAGCGCGTTCATCCACAACACGGACTACGTGGTATTCGATAAGTTCACAGCAGCGGACAACGTGTGGGGGGTGGAGATGCATCAGGTGGAGGGCATTGTGATGCGCGACCTCACAGTGGTGGGGCACACCGCCAACTACGGCAACCCCTTTGACTGCACCGACCCGGACTCCAACGGCTGCGCTCCGGTCTCCGGCTGCAAGTGAGTGAGGGAGGGTTTGAGGGAGTGTGTGGGGGAGGGAGTGGGTGTTTGGCCTGGCTCCGCGCTTCTTCTACGTGGTTCAGCTTTGAGAGGTCACTCCTCTCCTTTCCCTCTCTCCTCCTGCTCCGCCACCTCCTCATTTCCACACGCTCCTCTCCTTCCTTCCTTCTCCACGTGGCAGGTTCCCATTGGCGAAGGGCCAGCAGGGGCGCAGTGTGGGAGAAGGGGGGTGGGAGGAGCCGGTGTACGGGCTGGTGTTCACGCAGAGCCCATGGTTCACCGACGGGCTCTTCAACAACGCTGTTGACGGCGCTAAGTGCGTGCACGCATGCAATCATGCATTCATGCACCCATGCATCCATGCATGGGGCATACCGTTGAGTGCGTGGGGCGTAACATGCTGCATGGTCTGAAGCATGGTACCCTGTACAGGCATGGTCTGGCACGGCGTTACTCAGCATGGTGCAGCATCATCATGCAATCGCATCTCCTCCTGCCCTCCTCCACAACCCCATCCCGCGCACCCACCATGCAGGTTCGCCGGGTTTGACAGCACATGCAAGCCGTCTGCAGCGGTGGCGGTGGAGGGGGACATGGGGACCTACTGGAACGCCGGCAACAACTTCAAGGTGCCTTGCAGCCCTTGTCTTTCACGGCCCTTCACTGCTGCTCTCTGCTCTCTGCTCTTTCTCTCCTCACTGTTGCACCCACATCATCATGTGTAGTTCCAAAGTACCAAGTGCGTTTGCAGTATCAAGGCAGCAGCATTTCCACATATTTCCGATTCCTGATTGCACCCATGGACCGTTGCTGCTTGCACGTGCTTACCTAGTAAATTCTCAAGAAAGACATTTCTTCCCTGCCGCACTAACAAATGGTGCATCCACCCCCTACCCCTGCTGCTCCCCCCATCACCAGAACCTCAAGTTCAGCACTGCAACGCGGACCAACCCAGTGTTGGTCGTGCCTCAGAAATACCCATCCAGAGTGAGTCGCCCTGCCAACCCTACACCACCCCTTATGTGCATGCCACAATACCACACACGTGAGTGGTTTAGATGGTGAATACGAATGCTTTCGCTATCTGCGCTTCTTGCTTTTGGCTCTGCTTGTATCACTTCACCCTCTCAAACGTGATAAGAATCATGCCCTATGCCTGAACAACCAGTTCAACGAGTCATAGTTCCAGTCTCAACGCATCTCAACTCGCATTATCTCCCTCTCTCCCTCCTCTCCTCCCCTCACTTCTCCCTCCCCGTGCGCCTGACCCTGAGCAGTACGACCAGGCAGAGGTGGAGGACCATGGGGAGGCAGCGGCACAGGTGGCGTTGAGGGACATGGACGGCAGCATAGTGGGGTCGGTGCTAGGCAAGACCTCCGTTGGCGAGAACACACTCCCTTCTGCTGCCGCTGCTGCTGGCGCTGGCGAATTTGCTGCTGCTGCTGCTGCTGATTCTGCTGCTGCTGCTGTTGCTGCTGTTTCTGGTTCCGCAAGGCCCAGTGCTGCAATCCCTGCGTCCCTTGGCAAGCTTGTCCCGGCACAGAAAGCTTACCCTCAGCACCACCGTCGCCTGCTAGTCACGGCGTCTACTGCTCCTTCTGCTGATGCTGCTCCTGCGGCTGCTGCGGCGGCTGCTGCTGCTGCTGCAAGCTCCCATCGTCGCATGCATGGCACTGCAGCTTCTGCTGCGGCTACTATTTCTGCTCTCAAGAAAACTGTCGGCCGACCTAGCAACTACTACCCCAGGCCCCGCTCGCACAAACGCTCACGCGCTTCCCGTAGGAAGTCTGCTTCTTCTGCCCGCTTGCCTGCCCGCTCCTCCTCCTCCTCCTCCTCCTCCTCCTCCTCCTCCTCCTCCTCCTCCTCCTCCTCCTCCTCCCCTCTCACCACCCCAATGCCGTCCGGCTTCCTAGTGGCCAACAACACAGCGGTGCTCCCCCCGCTGACCTCCTCAGGCACGTACGGCTCCTGCAAGCCCATGCCAGGAGCCAATGCGTACGCGTGCCCCTCGCCCACACACTGCTTCCGCACCGTCAACGTCCGCTACCTCGAGCCCGCCACTGCAGGCAACACCAACCGCACACAGGCCCACGGCGTGATGAGCTTCATCAAGGTGGTTCGCATGAGTGACGGTGCAGAGCAGACGTTCGACGGGAACTCGAATCACATCGAGCTGGAGGAGGGTGGGGGGGAGGCGATGCGGGTGTTTGGGATCACAGCGCTGGTGGGAGAGGTGTATGTGGTGGAGGTGGTGGGGCCGGATGGGGAGGAGGAGTGGCAGCCGGAGGAGGTTAATGTGTACTTTGGGGATGGCGTGAACAAAGATTTTGCGGGGGACTGTGGAGGGGCTGTGACGGTGAGGCTCAAGGCTCCTGCTGGAGGGGACACACAGTGGGCCGCCAGGATGGCTGATAACGCCGCATGGCGGTAGGTTTTCCATCGATATGTATTTATTTTGTTCGTTCGTTTCGTTTCTTTTCTTTTCTTCTGTTCTCGCTCTCTCGTTGCAAGCTCTCTCTCTCTCTCTCTCGTTGTAAGCTCTCTCTCTCTCGTTGAGCTATCCACCCTGCATTGTCATTGCCCCCACCTGACGTCTCCCCTCTTTTCTGCCGCCCTCCTCTCCCACCTCCCCCTATCCTCCCTCCATCCTCCCAACGTCTCCTCCCTGCAGGCCCTGTACCGGCACCACTCAGCGTGCACCCGCCCTGTTCTCATACGAGTGTGAAGCGGTGTCAGAGCAGCAGCAGGTGCAGGTGGTGCTGTCAGGCGATGTGAACTACTACCTCCCTGCTACCGTCTATATCTCCCAGGACCCCCCTGCACCCTGCTCCACCCCTTCGTGAGTCACACTCGGCCACACCATGGCACGGCACGGCTTAGCACAGCACAGTGCAGCTTAGCACAGCACAGTGCAGCGCAGCACAGCACAGTGCAGCACGCTGGCCCCTTCCTTCCCCCCCTGCCCACTCACAAAACTCCGTTGTGGCTTCTCTTCCCTCACCCCATCCCTGCCACCGCCCACCCACTTCATGCCTACCCTGTCCTCTCTCTCCCCTCCTCTCTCTCCCCTCCCCTCTCTCCCCTCCCCTCTCTCCCCTCCCGTTTCTCTCCCTCACAGGCACTGTGGCCTGCTGGCACCGCGAGCAGTGTGGCGCTACAATCAGGAGGGGGGGGAGCTGCATCCGCTCTCCCCCGGCGGTCCAGCCTTCTACAACCCGAATTTCTCGGACTCCTCCTGGCCCTCAGGCCCTGCCCCGCTCGCCTACGTGGGATGTAAGCACTCACACTCGCTCTCATGCACTGATGCTCTCGTGTGCGGTGCACTGTGGTGGGCTGCGTTGTGGTTGAGCCATCCGCTGCCGACATTACTGCCACTGCCACTGCTGCTGCTGCTGCTGCCTCCTTCCACTGTGTTGTACCTTGCCATGCCATGCTGCCCTGCTGCGGCCATGCTGCCCTGCTGCGGCCATGCTGCCCTGCTGCGGCCATGCTGCCCTGCTGCGGCCATGCTGCCCTGCTGCGGCCATGCTGCCCTGCTGCAGCCATGCTGCCCTGCTCCTCTGTTGAAATGCCGTTTGAGAATTCTTCTCCTTCCACTGGGTAGTACTTTGCCGTGCCATGCAGCCCTGCTCCTCTGCTTTGTCCCACCGCCCACACCCTCTCACTCTCAATGCCCCTGCCTCCTTACCAACGCAACACTCCACTCCTCCTTCCCCTGTCATGCCAACAGTTGACTGGGACAAGGTGGGCACGTTCCTGGCGGAGCCATCGTGGGACGCGCGCACGACATACTACTTCCGCACGACCTTCTCTCTCACCAACTCCGCGTGCTTCTCGAGCTTGCTGCTGCAAATGCCGGTGAACGATGGTGTGATTGTCTACATCAACAACCGTGAGGTGCTGCGCCTCAACATGCCCCAGGGGGATGTCACCAATGCCACCTCCGTACGTCAGCCCCTCGCCCCCGCCTCCCACCTCTCGCCCTGACTTTTGAGTCGACTCAAACGTCAGCCCGTCGCCCTCGCCGCCCACCTCTCGCCCCTCCCCTCGAGCCTCTCACCTCATCCATCTCACCTCGCGTCTCTCACCGCTCACCTCATGCCACCTCGCACAGCAGCCAACACACGTCGTAGAGCTCGCTAACCTGCTCACACATGATCCACCTGTTCCCTCCGCTTTCCCACAGCACACCGTTCCTAATTCTCCCGCTCCAAGCCCACCCTGCTCGCACAACTTCAACCCCTCATGGCTCGTCCCGTTCCCTGCAGGCGCTGGCGGATAAAGAGGCGATCAATGACAACGATGATGGGTTCATCTACACGGACAAGACAGTGGCTCTGCCAGGGGCGGCAGCAGCGCCGGTGCTGACAGACGGGGTGAACGTGGTGGCAGCAGAGGTGCACCTCAATCACGACAACGGCTGGGACATCGCCTGGGCTATGCGCCTCTCCGCTCTCCCCTCGTACGTGCCACAACACATGCCTGTGTGCGGAGCATGGCACGTGTGACACATGCTGGTGTGTCTGTATGGTTACTGCCTCCTAGTCTCCTCGCTTTTCGCTTGAAACCTTTGCTGCACAAATGGCTTGGAAGCTCTGAATCTCACCCGCCTCTCCTGCTGCCTCCTCTCCTGCTCTTACCCTTCTGCTGTCACCCCGCAGCTCAGCTTGCTCCAATCGCTGACGGCTGGTCGCTGCAACCCCTGATGGCTGAGGAGGTGCACGGGACAGCGAGGGGGCCTCTCATGCTTGCCACTGCTGTGACCAGTTAGAGAGGCTCTCTCTGGAGTATGATGTTTAAGGATGTGTTCGATCACATGTGCATATGTATGTATTATCTCTATATACGGTACTAAATACATGTTATGTTATATACCCACTGGTGCGTTGACTGATTATAAACCCACTCTGCGAGGAGTAGCTGTCAAACATTATATACATTGTGCTTGTTTAGGCTACAGTGGGTTAGCCTATAGGAGGGACACAATTCTAGGGTTAGGTACTTGTACTCATTTCACTGTTAGTTCACACATTCCTGTTCATTCATTTCAACATGGTATAGAGCAGGTCCTTCCTAGGACCGAATTTTAGGGCCCACCACTACCTACCTACCTACCTACCTACCTGCGCCCTAGGGCGCCTCGGTTGTAACGGCCCCGTTGGCCCCGCGCTCTCCTCTCTAGAGGCCCCCGTCGGCCCCGCGCTCGCTCTTAGCGGCCCCCCCTTACGGCCCCGCGCTCGCCCCTAGAGGCCCCGAACGGCCCCGCGCTCGCCCTTAGCGGCCCGTTACGGCCCCGCGCTCGCCCCTAGAGGCCCTGAACCGCCCCACGCTCGCCCTTAGCAGGCCCCTTACGGCCCCGCGCTCGCCCCTAGAGGCCCCGATCGGCCCCGCGCTCGCCCTTAGCGGCCCCTTACAGCCCCGCGCTTGCCCCTAGAGGCCCCGAACGGCCCCCCTCCCAGAACGAGCCGCCCGACCCGAGTAGCCCGAACCGAGCCACCCTGCCCAAACCGAGCCGCCCGAACCGAGCCGCCCAGCCCAAACCGAGCCGCGCCGCCCGAACCGAGCCGCGCCGCCCTACCTGAACCGAGCCGCGCCGCCCATACTGGACCGAGCCGCCCTACCTGAGTCGCACTGCCTACTGTTTTTGGGGTGCCCCTACTGCTATTACTCCTACTACTGCTATGGCTAGCCCTCCTGTACTGTCTTTCGATGCTGAGGGCCGCCCAGTGAAGTTCGAAACCTGGCTAGATGATCTACACCTCTTCTTACAGCTCACTGCCAAGGAGGACATCTCACTGTACGATCACGCCCTAGGCCATGCTCCTACTCCTGCTGCTACTGCTGACAGCACTGCTCGCTCACAGTGGCAGACTCGTGACGCCCACGCTCGCTTCGCTATTCGCAACTCCCTGCCGATAGATGAGCGCGAGCACTTTGGGCAGCACAAGACTGCACAGGCACTGTACACTGCTGTCGTTGCCCGCTACTCCTCACCGGCCTCTGCTGCACTAGGCCGTCTCTCTCTTCCCTACCTGTTCCCCGACTTAGCCTCTTTCCACACAGTCACTGACCTCATTACGCACCTCCGCACTAGTGAGGCTCGCTTCCGCGCCGCCATCCCTGATGAGTTCCTTGCCAAGAACCCACCCCCACTCTGGCTCACTCTCTACCACCTAGTCACCCGCCTCCCTGACACTCTGCGCTCAGTCAGGGACCACTTCCTAGCTCGCTGCCCCACTGAGCTCACCATTGCCCTCCTCGAGAAGGAACTCCTTGCAGCTGAGGCTAGCATAGTCACTGTAGGTGCCTCTCGTGGCAACCCCCGTACCCCGTTCTTTGAGGGGTGCTCTCCTTCCCCCCTTCTTCCCTCTGTCGCCTCTGCTGCTGCTGTCGACCTCCTTGGTGCTGAGAAGGTCGGGACTGCGTCTGCTTCGAGCGGGCGCCGCAGCGGCAAGGGCAAAGGGGGCAAGGGCGGTGGCGGTGACAGCGGGGGAGGCGGTGGTGGGGGCGGTGGCGGCGGTGGGGGTGGTGGCGCGACTAGAGGGGCTAGTGGCAGCGGTGGGGGTGGTGGCGGCAGCGGCGGGGGAGGTGGCAGGGGCGGAGGCGGTGGTGGGGGTGGCGGTGGACGCGGCGGCGGCAGGGGTTGGGGTGGTCGAGGAGGTGGCGGCGGTGGTGGTGGTCATGGAGGCGCTGGCGGTGGCCAGAGCCAGCAGCACACTCCGTCGCCCCAGGAGGTCCGTGAGTGGTACTCTCAGCACGGGGGGGGGTGGCTTTAGCTGCACGTACGACATTCGCACTGGTGACCGCACTAGTCAGCCGTGTGGGGGATCGCACGCCACACAGCGCTGCTTCGCTCGTCTCAACGACGCTTGGCGTGTTCAGTTCCCTCAGGCCACTGAGCTGCCCCGCTGGGTTGATCTCCTGAAGAAGGGGATTGATATCTATGCTCTAGACTTTGATGCTATTCTCACTGCTATGTATGTGATGTCTACTAGTGGAGAGGGTGCTGAGTACCTGTGTGTGCCGCCCGACCTGGGCATTAGGACTAGTGCGTCTGCCGCTCCAGGTACTCGCGTGTCTGCTACCCCAGGTGCTGGTGAGGCAGCTGCTCTAGGTGCTTGTGCGTCTGCCCCCCCTGGTACTGAGTCGACGGCAGCACTGCACACCTTCACACTGGACTCAGGTGCTTCTCGTTGCTTCTTTCGTGACCGCACTGCCCTTGAGCCGCTTGCTCGGCCAGTTGCTGTCTCCCTCGCTAACCCCTCTGGGGGTCCGGTCATTGCGACCTCCTCCACTGTCCTTCCCTGTCCAGCGGTCCCGTCGGGCACACTGTCAGGTCTCCACCTCCCCTCGTTCTCTACGAACTTGGTGGCAGGTAGTGCACTGCAGGACGGGGGTGTTCACCAGTTCACCCCTGCCTTCGAGCGCGGGACACACTGCACGTGTGCTCGTACGGGCCGCCACTTGGCTACCTTCACTCGGCAGCCGGGGTCGGACCTGTACACACTGACCACTGAGTCCCCTCAGGTCGCTGCGTCTGCGTCCGCGTCAGGTCAGCTGTCTGCCCCCTGCTCGTGTCGCTCTCTGGCGCACAAGACTGTCCTCTGGCACCACCGACTTGGCCACCCGTCTGTGCAGCGCCTTCGTGCCATGCACTCTCGGTACCTTGTCTCCGCACTTCCCAGAGTCCTCCCTCCCCTCTCACCCTTGCCTGCTCCTCCCTGTCTTCCCTGCGTCGAGGGGCGGCAGCGCGCCGCTCCTCACTCCTCGTTTCCCCCGACGACTGCTCCCTTGCAGACGCTCCACATGGACGTGTGGGGCCCAGCCCGCGTTGGTGGTCAGGGTCAGGAGAGGTACTTCCTGATAGTTGTTGACGACTACTCGCGCTACACCACGGTCTTCCCCTTGCGCACCAAGGGTGAGGTCCCTGATGTCTTGATCCCTTGGATCCGCAGAGCCCGTCTCCAGCTCAGCGAGCGTTTCCACTCGGACTTTCGTGTCCTGCGCTTGCACTCTGACAGAGGTGGTGAGTTCTCCTCCGACCTCTTGGCAGCCTACTGTGCTGAGCACGACATTGAGCAGTCGTTCACGCTTCCAGCCTCACCACAGCAGAATGGGGTTGCGGAGCGCCGTATTGGCCTGGTCATGGAGGTCGCCCGTACCTCCTTGATCCATGCGGCTGCCCCCCACTTTCTGTGGCCGTTTGCGGTCCGGTACGCTGCGCATCAGCTCAACCTCTGGCCCCGTGTCTCCTTGCCAGAGACCTCGCCCACACTGCTGTGGACGGGGGAGGTTGGCGATGCGTCGCGTTTCCGGGTCTGGGGATCTCGAGCTTTTGTCCGCGATACGTGTGCGGACAAGCTCTCCTCCCGTGCTGTTCCCTGCGTCTTCCTTGGCTTTGTCCCGGACGCGCCTGGTTGGCAGTTTTACCACGCCACCTCACGCCGAGTCTTGCCCTCTCAGGACGTCACTTTTGACGAGTCCGTCCCCTACTACCGCCTCTTCCCCTACCGCACTGCCCCGCTCCCCCCCCCCCGCCTCTCTTCCTCGCGCCAGGTGCTGCTGTCGTAGACCCCCTCCCCCCTCAGGGTGCCGCTCCCTCAGGTGTGTCTCAGGTAGACCCGGTTGAGCCTGTTGAGGTAGCTGTCGACTCTCATCCTGCTGTGGGTGCGGAGCCTAGGGGTGCGGAGCCTGGGGGTGCGGAGCCTAGGGGTGCGGAGCCTGGGGGTGCGGAGCCTAGGGGTGCGGAGCCTGGGGGTGCGGGGCCTGGGGGTGCGGAGCCTGGGGGTACTGAGCCTGGGGGTGCTGAGCCTGGGGGTGCTGAGCTGCAGAGTCCGGAGTCGAGGGGTTCTGAGTCTGGAGGTGCTGAGCCTGGGAGTCCTACACGTGGAGGAGCCCTCTCCTCGGAGCAGCTGCGTGAGTGGTACTTACAGTACTGCAGCCTCAGGAGAGGTACCTCTGGAGCCAGGCGTTCTACTGGGACTGGTGCCAGTGCTTCTTCTCCTGGTCGAGAGCTCCCCTCCCGTGAGCGGATCCGTGAGTGGTACGAGCGGCGCTGCACTCTTCGGAGTGGTGTGCCTGGTGTCACGGACCCCGCTGCTGCTGGGGGTGCTGCTGGTGCTGGAGACTCTACTAGTGCTGCTGGTGCTGCGGCCCCAGAGGGTGGAGCTCCTTCTGGTGCTGCGGACCCGGGCGTTGGAGCTGTTGCTGGTGCTGAGGACCCGGGCGTTGGAGCTGTTGCTGGTGCTGAGGACCCGGGCGTTGGAGCTGCTGCTGGTGCTGAGGACCCGGGCGTTGGAGCTGCTGCTGGTGCTAAGGACCCGGGCGTTGGAGCTGTTGCTGGTGCTGAGGACCCGGGCGTTGGAGCTGCTGCTGGTGCTGAGGACCCGGGCGTTGGAGCTGCTGCTGGTGCTGAGGACCCGGGCGTTGGAGCTCTTGCTGGTGCTGCGGACCCGGGCGCTGGTGCTGCTGCTGGTGCTAAGGACCCTGGCGCTGGTGCTGCTGCTGGTGCTGTAGAGTCGGGCGTTGGAGCTGCTGCGGGTGCTGAGGACCTGGGAGTTGGAGCTGCAGCTATTGTTGAGGACCCTGGTGCTGGTGTCTCTGCTGGTTCTGGAGTAGCTGCACGGCCGCGGCCGTACTTCGTTCCGCTCCTGCAGCAGGTTCTTGTTCTTTCGCCTTCTCTC